AAAGGATGAAAATGTTCTATATTTGTGTTGTCCAATATGGTAGTCACTAGCCACATGTGGCTATTGAGCACATAAATGTGACTAAGAAACTATTTTAATTAATTAATTTAAATTTAATAGCCACATGTTGTGGTTAGTGGCTACCATATTGGACAGCATAAAAGATCCTATTTACTGAGTGGATATGGGATAACCCAGTATACCAAACTTACTCTTCCACCTTCTGCAGATCTCATTGCCCACCAGAAAGGACAGATAGAGAAGCAGCCACCATTTGAGATCTACTTATGCTTTGGAGAAGAATGGCCAGATGGGAAACCCCTGGAAAGAAAACTCATCTTGGTTCAGGTGGGGAGATAAGGATGTGTCAGCAACTCTTTGCCTTTTTATCAGTGCTTTAGCCACTAGTTCTGGGGTTGAGCCCTGAGCGAGGACTCCATCCTACTAGATGGAGTAGCAGACTCAAGCTTTGTACACTGTACAGTAAGACCAAGATGGAGAAAACAGGCTGTTCAAGTGGGTGACTGGTTTAATGGAGACCTTATCTTTCATTCTCTTACTGACATTAGAATCTTGCTGAAACCTAAGAGGATATGACCCTTGTTAGCTCTTTTAGAAAAATGCTTTGAGTTATTTTTAAGAACATAACCTTATTCTAGGAAGTGGCAGCAAGACCACTGGGTTTGGCCCCTGGATTTGTGCAACAAGACAGGCAACAGATGAAATTTGGGTAAAAGTTTTGCTAAATAAGCAGTTATTTATTTAGGCATGTGGTGTGATGCTACATCTAGGTTTTTCACCTCCATCCGAACCAACTTCTAGAGTGAACCTTGGCAAGATGGTCCAGAAAAATGAAGGCATATCCTGTATCTAGACATTAGAGTGGGGGGCTTCCCCAGGGCCTCACTGGTCTTTCCTTTAGTCTTGGGTCCCCCCTGCTGTTTGAAAATACCTTCTCCTCAGTGGATACCTATGTGCTCTGTATCCTGAACAGGTCATTCCGGTGGTGGCTCGGATGATCTATGAGATGTTTTCTGGCGATTTCACGCGATCCTTTGACAGTGGCAGTGTCCGCCTGCAGATCTCAACTCCAGACATCAAAGATAACATTGTTGCTCAGCTGAAGCAGCTGTACCGCATTCTCCAAACCCAGGAAAGCTGGCAGCCCATGCAGCCCACCCCCAGCATGCAACTGCCCCCTGCCCTGCCGGCGCAGTAGTCGTCAATGCCTTCTTCCTTCTCTTTTTTACAATATTGTACATACGGATATTTTTTATGACTTAGATTTAACCAGCTTTTAAACCTCTCTTCCTTCTAACAATGTTAGTAGTCTCTGACTCTCCAAATATGCCTAGCTTTTAAAGTTGATTTAATTTATGGAAAAATCGCCCTCTGTACTTTCCTTTTCGTTTTTAAACCTCCCAACGGTAGTGTAATGTAGTAGAAGGAGATTTCGCCTGGGAGTTTGGACACCAGGGTTCTAGCTGCAGCTTTGCTTCCAATGGTGTCATTGGAACCAAGTCATTTAACCTCTGGGCTTCAGATTCACTGTGAAGTGAAGGGTTGGAATGATGCCTGAAATTGCATCCAGCTTTAAAACTCTGATTTGATGACGTCATTCTACTTGTATAAGGCAAAACTGCCTGGAACAGAACCCTTCTGCATTGTTCTTGTACCATGTTTTGTTCTTGGCTTTCATTAAAGTTCCCTCAAGCACTGATTTGTCCAGGATTGATCTCCGTTTGACCTGTTCTGCTAGTATAGTAAGCTGGCTCCCTGATGGGGGAAGTGAAAGGGAGGGGAGCTGGCTGGTTGCTTAGGAACCAAGCTTGATATCTAAATAGAAATAGGTGCCAAAGTCTGAAAGTCACCCGGCCTGTGGAGTAAAAGCTCATAATTGAGCTTCTAATGGGAAGCTGTCGACATAGAAGGCCTAGGGATTCTGTAGAAGAATTGGTTGTCGGGTGTTTACCTTCTACCACTTGGATACCACTGTGTGTGTGTGGTAGGTGAGAGTATATGACCCAGTGGGAGCCTTCAGAGAGGAAAGAGCTCTCTTTTTTCCTTCTCTGAGGAAGACCTGAGAGTGAGCTGGGCATCTAGGATAAACTCCTCTAAAAGGAACAGTTCTTCCTTGTTTGGAGACTTTTACAGTCTTCCTGTCATTTGGACTTTTTGCAGTTGGCAAAAGTGGGGTACTGAGTATGTTAAGGCCAGGGTAAGGAAGGGCTGGGCAGTGTTCTTCTGGAAAAGGCTAACCTAGCTTGTCTCCATTCCGAGTGGAGGTAGCTGGGTGTGAACAATTAAGGTTCATGAAGAGTGATGTAGAACGTTGCAGCTATAGCTGCCACAAACTGGTCTTCTCTATTAACTTTTGCCCGGTCCTGGACCTTTTTGCCTGCCCCCCCCCTTTTTGCCTGCCCCCCCCCCCTTTTTTTAAAGATGAAATTATACATAATTTAAACTCAAAGACCTAAATGGAAAACAAGATGCTAATCTCTGGGTGCAGGCCCCAATCCTCTTGAGTACTTATGCCTATTTGTGCCAGGCCATAGTAAGAAAGCCATGTCTAATATGCTACCCTTAAACCAAGCTGCCACCTACTTGTTACTGAAGTTGGGCTAGCTTTATTTCAAAAACCATAATGCAACTCAATCACAAGTGGCAGTGGGACTTATTTATTTAGAATGCTTAAGCCATGGTTCTAGGGTCTCTAAGGGACTTAGTGGAATGTGCTGTTACTCAAGTATGACCAAGAGAAATCTGGGTAAAGGTCAGATGCTCAGCTGTGAGTAGAAGTTGGGTTTTAGAGACCAGGGAACATGCATATAGAAACTTTGTATTTTTTGGTCATTTTATTGAGTGGCTGAAGTGAGGGATTTGGTCCTAATGTTTGGCTGCCTCCGTCTGTATCTGCATAGCTCCAAGTTAAAAAGAGCCCTCTGTAGGTAAATTGGTAGGGCAACTGTTGGATCTGGGCTGGTCCCTCTCCCTTATTCTGTGAGATGCTAACAGCTAGGCTGTCCACCTGGATGGGGGCCTAGATAATGTGAGCTGGCAAAGTGTGTTGAAAATAGTATTCTGAAGTGCCAAGAAGGGTCAAACTTTTAGTATGTGACTGTAATGAAAAGTTTACAAACATGTCAGAGGAATGGATGAGTGATTTTATGTGGTCTTAAGTAGATACTGCAGTTTGTTCCTTGTTTTTTATCCTTTTCAGAACTCTGGGAGAGAGCATGCAGGGCTCTCCACTAATCTCCCTCAGTGCTCCTTCTCTGCTTTTGATGGATAAATACCAAATGTCCTTTCTTTCTTGGAGACTCCGTCTGCTATCTCCTTTGGTGGCTACAACACTCACTCCCTTGGTGTCTTCTACTTCCTTGCCTTCACCTTGCTTAAGACTGGGAAGGGAGTTAGTTGGTGTCATTGGCTCTTCTTTTTCGTCTCTATCCACCCCACCAAACTACATTAGCTCAAAGTTAAAAAGAACCTACCGTACATAAATTGGGAGGGCAAGTGTTGGATTTGGGCTGGTCCCTTCCCCACATAATTAGGTCCCTGGTTATATGTTCCCATAGCACCCTGTACTTCTTTCAGAATAACCAATTCTCTTGTAATTGCTCAGCATTTGTGTCCTGCCTGACTACAAACTTGCTGAAGGTAGGGGCTGTTTGTCTTGGACATTGCTTCCAGATCTTAGTACAGTGTCTGGTACATAGTATGTTCTCAAATATTTGTTGTTACAATAAATGAATGAACTAAAGTCTTTCATTTTAGGATTTATTGCTAACCACCATGGGAAAATTAAATAAATATGTGGAAGGAAAATAACTACAAAGTTAGTTTCTAGTCTCTGTTTCTGACTCCCTCTGAGCTAAGAACCAACCTTAGACTGGGAGCCCATACAAGCTGGTCCTCCTTCCAGGCTGGCCTCATCTTTACTCCACAGTTGTCTCTTTTCACGATCTGAAGATACCACCAACGTAGAGCTAGGAGTGAAACCTCCAGTGTAGCTGCCCACAGTTCCCTTAGCCTCTGCTCTGCCCATGCATCGGTAAATATGGGCCATTTCCTTACATAGGAGTTTTCTCAAATTCTTTCCCTTCGTGGTAGGGGTCATATCGCCGGTAGTTAAAGACGCGTTAACCTTTCAGTGAAATAACACTTTTTTCTCAATGACCTGATTGAAAAGCCTCTGCATTTCTGCTTATTTCTCATGTGAAGTCAGCATACTGAATTCCTAGAACCTGAGCTCCACGAAGGTGGAGTTTTTGTTTCGTACACTGCAACACCTCCAGCGCCTAGAAGCAGGCCTAGCACAGTTCTTCAGAGTGAATACTCAGGCCCTTCATACCCTGCTTAGAGACGACAAGCCCCGGCCAGGACAGCAGTTGTCCACCCACTTCTCTTAGAATTCAGCCTCTCGAATTTAGGATTTAGGTAGGTCAAAGTTAAAAAAAAAAAAAAGCTTTGTAGCACCACCCAGAAGTGAGGATGTTCTGCAAAACACATCGCTTGTCTTGAGAGAAGTTTCGTTTGGAGGGGAAAGGGCATGTCTCCAGCCACAGATCCAACAGTGCTTTTGCCCTGTGCGCCCTGCTCGTGGCTTCCGGGTCAACTGGGACACCAGGCTTAATAACACACCAGCCTCACCAGGTACCGCCTCCTTTCGCCCCTTCCCGTTCCTGCCCAGACGGGCGGGGCCGGCTTCTGTCTGGCCGGAAAGGGCCGGGCCGCAGGCGTCCACACTTCCGCCACGCAGCGGGGCGGCCTCGCCGCTAGTTCTAACGCGAGGCGCGCGAGCGGACTGGGTGACGTCACGGAAGGCGGCGGGGAGGTGGGATTGTGTTGGGCATGCGCAATAGATCGACTTCGCCGACCGGGGGCCGAGCGGGCTGCAAGGCTGTTACCTACGCGGGCGGGGTTTCCGCTGCTGCCGCGGAGCGCGGGGTGCTAGCCGCCTTCCCAGCAGCGGGCAGGAAACTGGAAGGAGTTTCTGAGTCCGCAAACCTGCAGCGGAAGTGAAGAACGTACGTGTGTGAGAGAGAGACCTCTGCCGCATTTAACAAATCACGATAATATGCTCAGGAGAGGGTGAGCTCATCTCCCTAGGGCCGATGGGTGTCGGCCAGAAGGGGAAGGCGGGGCCAGCAGAAGTTAAAATACAGCCCTCCTGCAATTCTAATATTTCATTTATTTACTTTTATGTCTCAGGGTGAGATGTTTATTAGTCCACATTCTAGTGTATATCAGTTTAATCAGATTGCTCTTCTTACAACTCTTCTTGGCGGGAAGAGGTGGGGAGGTTGGCAGTGGAAAGAATGCATTTGAACCCTGTCTCAGAAAGGCAGTTTTAGGTGAAATGCTCTGAATTTTGCCAGAGACTGCCCTGCCTCTTTTCTGCTCCAAACTCCTTAAGTTTTGAATCAGAGAAAGTAATTTACAACAGGTAAAATTAGAACAGAAGCCAGAGAATATAAATCTAGCTGTAAGGCCAGAAAGATGCATGAATTTCGGACTAAGGGAGACTAAGGCAACCATAGAAATCAGGTAGCATTGGTGACCCAATCTTGTCTGGGCTGGCTTAGCATTCCAAAGCAGAGGGAGGGACAGAATGACCTTTGGAAGATCCTGTAAGACTTAGGGGAAGGCTGTTGGCAGGTTTCCTGTATGTCACTGGCTGGTGTTAATAATTACCTGCTACTGCTTTGTTTTTAGACTCTTCCTCAATTGTCTGGAGCTCAGAGATGCGGCCCAGGGGAGGGAGCTGTGGCTAGTTAAGGAGGCCATGCTTGATGTTTCTTCCACGTCCCATGTCAGCACTAAGTCCTCAGCTGCTGGTGGCAGCTGCTCAGCAGACCCTGGGTATGGGAAAGAGACGGAGCCCACCCCGAGCTGCCTGCCTTCATCTAGCCGGAGAGGTGCTTGCTGTGGTCCGGGGACTGAAGCCAGCTCTGCTCTATGATTGCAACTGTGCAGGGGCATCAGAGCTCCAGAACTATCTGGAGGAGCTGCAGGGCCTGGGCTTCCTGACCCAGGGACTTCACATCCTGGAGATTGGAGGAAACAGCCTAATTGTAAGTCTTGAGCATGTATGTCAGCACTTGGAGCAGGTGTTGCTTGGTTCCATAGCCTTTGTGGATGTTTCCAGCTCCCAGCCTCATCCTTCTGTCTGCTCCCTGGACCAGCTTCAAGACTTGAAGGCCCTCACGGCTGAGATTATCACGCATTTGCAGGGGCTGCAGAGGGACCTATCCCTGGCAGTCTCCTGTAGCAGCCTTGGTTCCTCAGACTGGAATCTCTGTACTGTGTTTGGGATCCTCCTGGGCTATCCTGTCCCCTATACCTTTCATCTGAACCAGGGAGATGACAACTGCTTAGCCCTGACCCCACTACGGGTGTTCACTGCCCAGATCTCGTGGCTGCTTGGTCAACCCCCAGTCTTGCTCTATTCCTTTAGTGTCCCAGACAGCTTGTTCCCAGCCCTGAGGGACATTCTAAACACTTGGGAGAAGGACCTCAGAACTCGATGTAGGACTCAGAATGACTTTGCTGACCTCAGCATTTCCTCTGAGATAGTCACACTGCCGGCTGTGGCCCTCTGACTTGAACTCTTCTCCCATGTAGAAGGTGCTCACTAAATGATCAGCTCTAGGTCAGGGACGGTAAATAGGAATCATCTCAAGTGTCAATTCCCAGCGTCTTGAGAACACTAGAGAAGAATGCTGTAATCCCTTGGCCACATCTGCCGTGGGCATGGGAATAGGTGGTGGTGGTGGTAGCATTGGTAGTACATATTTGCCATTTCTATACTAGGGAGTCCTCTTGACTTAGCTGAGATGTCTATTTATTTTTCACTGGATGGGAGTTAGAAGGAAGGAGGTTGTGGAGAAGAAGGGTGGTAGAGGACAAGTAGTATACTCTTGTACGGTAGCATTGTAAATATACCTGCCCTGTGTGGGTAGTGTCTGCCAGAAAGTAGAAGGACTGGGCTTTACTGCGTGTTTATATACCTCCAACTGAATTGGACTAGGGAGAGTGGACCAGTGTGATGTCGTTCAGAAATAAACAGAGTTCCAAGGAACAGAGACTGTCAGGTGAGGTTTATTTGTTTATTTTACAGTAGATTAAAAAAATAATAGCAAAGTCAGAAATCTCAGTTGAGTTGGGAAAATTCACACTTTCAAGTACCCAAACTTTATGGGTTTTCTATTGATTTTCTTGCTTCTGATTTTCACCCAAGACAGGTGTCACAAGTTATTTAGATCAGCTGGCTGTCCTTGTTGACCAGGAGCACTGCCAGTGCTATAGCAATCATCATCAGCAGCATGGGGAGCCATTGGCCACATTGCCTCTGTGAGGAGGGAGAGGGAGAAAAGAGAAAGAGGCCGTGGTTGGTTGGAGAAGATATAGGCAAAAATAATCTTCCTTCTTCCCGTTCTAGCCCAGTGGAAAACCTTGGGTTGTGGAGGAGAAAAAGCGTTTTACGTAACTGTCTCTCACTTTGTCACCTCCCTTGGGATAAAACCACTTTACCAGTGGTCACTGGCCCAGGGAACCACAACGAGCAGGGGGCCAGATGCTTAAATACTGATATGAATAATTAAGGGTAGAAAATAACTCAGCAAAATTACATTATTCTCTGTTCATATTCCTCAGTACTTGTGCTCTCCTCTCTCTGTCCCTGCCAATATGCTCATAATAGGCTAAAAGAACACCATTTCATACTTTAGCTAATAGTCATTCTTTCCCCTCAGGCTCAAGAGTTCTGTGAAAATTAGGCTTGGATGCATGAGCCAGTGTTTCTTTCCATGGTTGCTATACTGTCGGTATAGTATAAACCAAGCTGAATGGGACAGCCTGGCCAGATGTTGGTTTGGGCTGATAAATTTTATCTGCAAGATTCGGTTAAAGGAGGAATTGTCCCACCATCCTCTAGGGCTACAGGAGGATAGACCCTCTTACTCTGCGAGGCGGCTGCTGTCTCTGGTTCAGCTCTTCTCGACAGTGCTGCAGCTTACGCAGGCAGGAGAGGTACTCGTCACTGAGGTTGTCTAACTCTGAATGCAGTTCTCTGCACTGAGGGGGAGAATACCACCAAGGTCATCACCACCAGTTCTGTCTGGGACAGAGCCCAGGAAGGGGAGAAGGCCCTGTGTCATGAAGCCCTTCATTCGTTTGGAATTTTTACCACCATCCTCCCTTCCCAGCCTTTCTCAGAGATTTCAATTTGCTTTTCATCTGTCTCACCTAGTTTGTCCAGAATGTGTTCATTTAAATGATTGATTATAATGCATATATTATATGTTATACATGTAAGTGCTTTCATGTGACAGTGTATGTGCAAGTGCTTTGTAAATGGGGACGCAAAAAATGAAGTTCTTTTAGCACAAAAGACCTGGAAGTGATCTTAATACAAGTCTCTTTCTCAGGAGCTAATTGCGTGCAGATACTTCTGGGGATATGTATGTTTGTAAGTATGTAGACAGGGAGAGTCTTGTTATTTAAAAGGTGCTATTGTTATTTAAAAGGCTTAAAAGTTTTAAGATACTCAGTGTAGGACAAAGTTTGAGGAGTTAATATGTTTATTGAATGTGTTTGATTTTAGATTGACTTTCCAAAAGGTAACTATTTAATAAAACCTTGAAATAGGGGTTGGTATAAATAAGGAAGGGAAAAGATTGACAAGTTAACCCGAAAGCAGAGACATTTTATACGGGCACAGGAATACCTGTGGGTATCCAATCACAATGTAAATGTGGAAATCCCTGCTCTCTGGCTGCCTCCCAGCAGTTTCCCTGCCACTGTGGGATGAGCCCCTCGCTATCTGAGGTCACCGTCTCACCTCCTTTTCCTTGGCCTGGAGCTGCAAAGTCTTCTTTTGCAGCTGGTCTCTGAAATCCCAGTCTTTCTCCTTCCCTGTGCCCTCAGGCTCCACTTCTTTACAGGAGGGCTTTGGGCTCCACACAGGCAAAGCCTGATCTAAAAAAGCAGCCAGATTCTCAGTGATAGTGACGCCCACACCTCTGAGGAAGGGCCCTGTCACTGAGAAACCCTAGGAATGAGGAAAAGGGAGGGGAAGGAACAAGAGAGGGCCTGTCCCTGGCTAGACTGCATGGAGTGGAATTCTCAACTTGTAAAGAACTCCCATTGGAACCCTGCTCAGCCTGGACAGAGAGCTGGAATTTGAGCCCCTTGAGGGCAATGTTGGCATCTTACTTTTCTGTGTATCCCTAGTCCTGTCTAATGTCAGATACTTCTAGAAAATATTTATCCAATTTCTTTGGCTGTATGTCACATCCTTTCTAGTTAGTCTGGTAGGTTTGTTAGATGCTTCAATATAACCCTTTTTCTCTTCTGTCCTCATTTCAAAGTCATGCGAATGGCAGTCATATCCTAGAATTCAGCTTTATGTGGTTAAAGATGTTTCTCAGCCACCTGGTAGTCTTAGCCTTGGTGAAGAGAGCACTGGACTAGGAGTCAGAAATTCTGGATTGTTGTCTTAGCTGTGTCTGTAATTTGTATGACCATAGACCTTCATTTTCTTATCTATACTTATGTGGGCGTAATAACTTCTGCCTTATATTTTACCCAGTGATTGTGATGAGAAAACAAAAGGCCATGTGTGGTGGATAAGTGAGGAGCTTTTGCCCCCTTCAGATGCATGATGAATTCTTAGGAACCTAAGGCAGCAGATACTGGAGGGCTAAGAGTGAGGTGACTTTTGCATGCAACGTGGTTTAGACTTGGGGAGTTGGGTGTGATTTGGAAAGTCAAGTGTAAAAATTGACATGAAATCCTGAGTTCAAAATCAATTTATTGAAATGTTCAACACAGACATATGTTTTCAGAGGGAGTAGAAATCCTTTTCACAGTTTATATACCTCTCAGAATAGGAGGCTAGCTAGTTCAAGTGTTCTCAGAGCCAATGATCAGTCCTTTGAAAGCTCTCCTAGATCCCTAACCTAACAGAGTCCCAGAACTGGATGGGACTCCAAGAGGTTATGTAGTCCATCTCCCTGCCTCTAGGCAGGCAAGAAAAGAGCACTACCTTAGAATTTGTGGAAGTAAATTTGCTGACCTTTCTTTGTTAAGAGTTTCTCCTGTTCTTGAAGCTGTAAGGATTGATTCTGAAGCAGACCTGTTGGAAAACACAAGGAACTTGTCTGTGCTGCATATTTACTGCAAAGAGTGTCTTTTCAGAACTTAGCTTAGAACCTTAATTATTAAAGATATTCCCATCTGTTATTGGTTGAATTGTGTCCCCTCAAATTCATGTGTTAAAGTCCTAATTCCCAGCACCTCAGAATGTGACCTTGTTTGGAGAGAGGTTCTTTACAAAGGTAATCAAGTTAAAATAGGACATTGGGGTGGGCCCTAGTCTAATATGACTGGCATCCTTATAAGAAGGGGAAATTTGGACACAGATTCATAGGTGGAAGACGTGAAGAGGCATAGGGAGAAGACGGCCATCTACAAGCCCAGGAGAGAGACCTGGAACAGATCCTTCCCTCAGAGCCCTCAGAAGCAAGCAACCCTGCCAACTACCTTGATTTTGAACTTCCAGCTTCCAGAACTGTGAGAAAATAAATTTCTGCTTTTTAAGTCACCCAGTTTGTGGTACTTTGTTATCAATATACCATCCTTGTGTCTCTTCCTACCATGTCTTTACCTTTGTCTCTGCTTAAATGTTACCTTAGAAGACTTTCCTAGATGACCCTGTATAAAATAGCAACTATTTTCTCTTTAAACTGGTTTATTTTTCTCCATAGCAGTTATTACTACCTAACATATTTATTTATTCATAGACACTCCATACCCTACTGTGGAGCTTACTTAGAATGTCAGCTTCATTATGGAAGGAACTTTGTCAGTTCTGTTCATTACTGTATCCTCAGAGCATGAGTCTAGAGTGCTGGGCACTTGGTAGGGGCTCAATAAACATGTGTTGAATAAATGAAGGCACGACTGTGAAGTGATTTCTCGCCCATTCAGCTTCTACTCTGTAGGCTAAGGTGGTGGGCAACCAGCAGAGCTATTAATTGAATCAGGTTCTCTAGCTTTTCAGAAATTGCCTACTTTTCTTCTGAAAAGTCCCTTTTCATCTTTGGCCCCTGTATGGCCCCATATGTAGTGTTAGCTTATTTTCTGAACCCTTCCTAGTGACAGAGGTCTATGTGACATATTTATGTACATAATGTTGGAATATATAGAATAAGAACTGCCTTAGGAAACCCAACACTTTGAAATCTGCAATTCTGGGGGAAATGCAGGTGGTTGTCACTGGTATGGAAGGAGAAAAGTAGAAAATAAAAAAAAAGAACAGAGGCTAATCTATAACTTGTGAAGAGCTATGTAAATGACCTTACTTCCCAAGAGGGTCTGAAAATGCTCAGAGGAAATGCCCAAGACTGGGCCCCCAAACCCTACTCAGGATGCCTTTTGTGAGGCAGGAGCCCCAGGAACACCAAAAAGCCACCTGTGCTACTTTCAGAATCTGGAAAAGGAACTTACTCTGCAACTGCTGTACTTTGGTCACCAGGGTGAGTTTCTCCTCCTCTGACCTCTTTAGTTGATCTGAAAATGAAATAATGCAAACCAAAAACTGAAGAACCAACCTAAGACTTAATGAACTCGACACCTGAGGATGGAAATCAGTAATAGGTGCTGTCTTGTCCATGGCCTCTGGTAGGTGTCAGTGGAAGTTGCTCTGCTACTTCCCCGTTCTGAAGAGGTAAACCAGAACCCAAGTGCCTTGGATTTCATGTGTGTCAACAACGTCCGGTTGAATTAAGGGTTGTATATGCACACAATTTTGTTCTCTCTCAGCTGACAGAGGCTGTGGCTGGGAAACCTTCACTATGCTTTGTATTTCAACTGACCTTTCCTTTTCAAATTAAGAATGCAGCCTTGACACCCGTGACTGATGTGGGAGCAGCTGTGATCTGGCCCAAAAGGATGGGCTGGAAAAGAGAGCTGATATTACAAGATCCTCGCATGCATCGAAATTAATTTTCAGTCTTGGATGATTAAGACAGCCCCGCCTTTCCC